AAAAAAAAAAAAAGCCCTAGTTGAGATTCAAATGCTAAAAACTTCTTTTCCCACAGGACTGGCTCTGCTGCCCCCTGCTGGGCATGGCCATTCTTTAATCAAGGGTTACCAGGAAGTGCTTAGAAATGCTGTCATTCCACAATGAATGTTTTCACTGTTGTTACACTGTTCCTTAAGTAAGTGCAAGGGTGATGCAAACCCAATGACACACAGTACAAGGACAATGTCAAGCAAATTAACTTTCCTTGAGAAAAATATGCAAATGGTTATACTGAATTGCAAGTATTTTGTAAAGTTTGCATCACTGATAACACTATTTGAAATCATAAAACTGCACCTGGAGCCATGACCTATAAGGCAAGAATAATGTTCACACCATCAGGCTTCTTCCAATTTGTCATGTCACTTACACATTCTTTGAAGTGTTACCAAGGTTGGGTTGTTTTGCTGTTGTGTTTTTTGTTACTAACATTATTTTTCCTCCATGGGACTATCATAAAAAGATTCAGTTTCATAATGTCCCTTGAATTTGAAGACTTTCGATTTAAGGTGCATCTGTCTATAGACTCTAGATAAGAATGCAATGATTTTGAAGCAACCAGCTATGCTAAAGGACCAAGAAAAATACTTTCTTCATAAAATCTTCAGAAATCTAGACCTGGCAATCTGACCTTTCTACCTTGAACAATTGGAGATGTCAATTTTCAGCTACCTGAACTCACCAAATTAGTTGGCATGATAAGTCCCTGCAAGCATCTCTAATAATTGTGATACCTTTATTCATAAATATAAAAAATTACAACCAAAGAAGATGTTCTTCAATAGGTGGATGGATAAGTACACTGTGGAACACAGATATAATGGTGAATTTGCCATTAAATAAATGAGCTATCAAGCTATAAAAAGCTATGAAGGAATCTTAAATGGGTGTTAATAACATAAATAGTTTTCCAAATATTTATTCATTCCATTACTTAAATAGAGATATTCCACGGGGGAAACTGTGAGATAGAGGACAGTCCCCAGATCACAATAGGAAATCTGTCTTGAAGGGACATAAACACCTCTTCCTGGGGCTGAATCCTGAGTTTGGCGGGTCTGGAGCGCCCCCTGCTGCCCGTCCCTATGCCTGCAGGGGAGGTTTGTGTCTGGGCTCACACTGACTTCCCCTCACTGTGTCTGCAGCACAGTAATACACGGCCGTGTCCTCAACTTTCAGACTGTCCATTTGCAGATACAGCGTGTTCTTGGCGTTGTCTCTGGAGATGGTGAAGCGGCCCTTCACAGAGTCTGTGTAGTATTTGCTACCACCATCATCAGGAATGGTTGAGACCCACTGCAGGCCCTTCCCTGGAGCCTGGCGGACCCAGTGCATCCAGTAGCTACTGAAGGTGAATCCAGAGGCTGCACAGCAGAGTCTCAGGGAGCCCCCAGGCTGACTCAGGCCTCCCCCGGACTCTACCAGCTGCACCCCACACTGGACACCTGTAAACACAGAGACATCCTGGTCAGGAAACTGTCACACATGTCCACTGTTTCTCTCACTCATGCCCATTCACATGCACTCACTCTCCATAGAATGACCTTTTAAGACAGCAACAAAGAAAACCCAGCCCAGCAATGACTCCATGGAGACTTGTCTGTTTTCAGTCCAGATCCCTGGAATGCCAGGATTGGGGCTCCTCTCCCAGAGCTGCAAGGTTGGGGCTGGGCTGGTTTTCATCAGCTGAGTGAGGGGCCCCATTTGCATAGCCTCCTCTTATATAGCTAACTATGGGGTTGGATGGCTTCAGAGAGGACAGTGATTTAGAGCAGATATAGTGTTCAGAGGGAGTTTGATGGCAACGACAGAATGTGGGAAAACATAATTTCTTACTATGTGATTGTGCTGAGCTAAACCCTTAGTTCCTATTATCTTATCCAGTTTCATATACACACACAAACCATGTGAAGTAGATGCCAACACTAGGGGCTGGATGAAACATCTATTTCACAGATATAAAAAGACAAACTGCTGTACACTGAGATCTGTGAGATGTGAAAAAGCATTTACTAGGTAACAGTAATCCCAGGATTTGGGTCTGTGCTCCTCACCAAGGAACTGACTTCTGCCCTGAACTTCCTCCAGGACAGAGCTGGATTAGGGTGCATCTTCTAGACTGCAAATAGAAGCATAGAGTCCCCTCAGCCTAAGCCCTCTGCCATATTAACAACAGTGAAGTGAAAAGAATAGTAAAATGTATCTGGGAAAACTGAAAGGAAAG